CTGTCTAGAATAGTCCGGAACATCGTAGAACGTACCAGAATCATGTGAGGGATGGCAGGATGCCAAGTAAGTACAGAACAAAAGAATGTACGTATATGGTAAGTAGGAAAGTCCATGCTGGCGTATGGTAGACGCACAGCCACCATCACTGCCACTCCCGGTCCGGCACAGCCGTAGACACAGAAGTTCAACACAGCATCCTTCTGGGCCTTTGCAGCGATAGCTGCCGCCTTCTTCAAAGCGGCTGCGGCGCTCTTCTCTTTCTGCGTGGGCTTGGCTGAGCCTGTGTTGACTACTTGTCGGCCTGTCCTATTGCTGGCCCTAGTACCGTAGCGGTGTGTTGCAGGTGCGGGTGCATTGGTATCGCCCTGAAAAACCCGTGCAGTAGATGAGATGATAAGAGTAAGCCCATATAACGAGCTATATGCCATACCTTTGCTGACTCCTCATCGCAGAGATCTGTGCCATTGCTGTCCATTGAGCCAGATTGAATCGAAGGGACGATGTCGGTCGACGCGTCGTCACTGTCGCGTAGAGCTTGCGTCGGCCCGGGCAATGGCTCGCTCTGGCTTGCAGGGGCATATTCCAGATTCTCGGGTGGGGGTGAGGGAGCTGGAGCTTTGCGGCCCTTCGCGCGGCCTCTCTGTGCCATCGAGGATGAAAAATGAGGGAAGGGGATGAGGTCAAGAACCAGAATGCGAATTGCGCGAAGGGTAGAGATTTAGCGCCCACACCAGCTCAACCCAGCTCGTCCAACATACGACGACCTGCACCCACCACGTCCTGTTCACCCCTCTGGCCGCTGCCCTCGCCTTTTCTAGGGTGTTTTCCCTTCTCAGAAGAACTGCAGGCCGTCCTCACTCGCCGTCTCTCATCTACACCTACAGCGGTGTATCTCCTGCTATGCTTGACGTCTGTGGGGCTCGTAAATCCTCGTAACTACGCCTTTCAGCCTTGAGCCGTGCCTCCCATTCGTATCTGGTGACATGGCACGCGTGTGCCGCCTGTGCCCTGCGCCACGCACGTTTCCAACTGCGCGCGGCTTCTTTCAGCACCGTCGTCGAGTTCATCAGCATCCGAAACCCCCGCGGGCTCAATCAACCTTTCGGCGACATCCCACCCTTAACGGTGAGCTTTACTAATTATTCTTGCATATCTACTGTTCTGAAGTCTCCTCAGGTCGGCCTTGCGATGCAAATGGTGGGTTTATCCCGCGGAACCAACCACCAGAGCCTCTCTCCGACGACATCGATTGGTCGCCCTTTCCAGACCGTCCTTCGTACGAGTTCGCCGAGCTCATCTTTGAAGATGCTCATCTATCCAAAGCAAAAATCGATCACATACTGTTGAACTTCTGTGTCTACGGCTGTGCCGGACCGGGAGTGGCAGTGATAGTGGCTGTGCGTCTACCATACGCCAGCATGGACTTTCCTACTTACCATATACGTACATTCTTTTGTTCTGTACTTACTTGGCATCCTGCCATCCCTCCATATGATTCTGGTACGTTCTACAATGTTCCGGACTATTCTAGACAGCGTCCGGATTACTCGCATTACTCAGCCATGGACTATCTGACCTTATGTCGATTATGCTCCCTTACTCAGCGTTACTCATCGCTCAGTCAGCGTCCTCTGGACGTCACATGCTCTCTTCTTATACGCTTACTCATCGTCCTCCCCAGTAGTATATAAGGAGGACTCTGCAGGCCTCTGCTCTTCAGTC